CTTGGTTTTAAACTTACTGCAGTTCCTGACTTGCAGCTTTTAAGGAGAAAAGAAAACAAGGAGGTGAGTTAAAGAGAAGCATCAGACTTCAGGGTTCACACAACTGTGGTCACATGAAGAGACTCAAACTTTGTGTCTGCACCTTTCCATGGCATGTTTTACTCTTGTCAACACTTTAAAAAATCCCACAAAAAAACAAGAATGACCTACACCGCTTAAGGCATCATATAAACAGGTCCTCAGACCTTCTGATATGTGTCAGTGTGGTTCCAGGAGAAAACAAACAAGATCAGGAAGATATCTTCATTGCTACAAATATATTTTCTTTAGACATTGGCATTGAAAATTAGGCCCTAACCAGATAACAAATAAATCCCAGCAAAACCAGTGCTGTGTCCTGGAGTGCCTGCTGGCTGCACAATGAATGCAGGCAGAAGCACCACCTGGTCATTGCTCTGCCAACAGGTCGAGCTGTGGCCAGCAGTAAGATCATTGATTTCAGCTGACACCCATTGCAAGGAGAATCACATTATGTAAACTCCTGCAGTGGTAATCCAAGTGTGTTTAACCCGACACTCCATCAACTCAACAACCAGGTTTTTTGACCACTGGGACAAGAAAGGAGCGCAGGACAACTCACTTTCACAGCCCTCAGGGCTCCGTCACCTGCGACCAAGGGCCCATCCCCAGGGGGCCCTGGGCCAGCGAGGGACAGTCTGGGCAGAACCAGAGGGTGACAGACACCTTCAGGCTGAACAGCAGCACGAGCAATGAGGGTCTTCTTGCTTACCAGGCAACCTTTGGGACAAACAGCCCACAGTGTTTTCTGCCACCTTTTAGCTCCAAAATCTGTCACTATCAAGACCTTCCCCAAAGGGCTCTCATCTCTGATTTGGGCCTAGTCTGCCAAACACGAGTCTGCTTTTTACTTCCCTCATTGGAGAAAGAAGCTGCATGACATACATTGGACCCTGCCAGTAGTTCAGCAAGAATTAACACTCTCAGTAAAGACCAATTGTATTTGGTTTTTTATAACCTCAGTCGCAAAAAAGTAATTTCCTTCATAAGAGAAACTTACATGACAACTCGGTGCTGGTTTTTATTCAGCACAATTCTTTAGGTGTTGATGGCTATCACACAGATTAGTAATTCACTGAATTACTGTAATTGCTTTTGCTACCTTGTAAAGTGCCACCAGCAGTGCCACCATTGACTCATGGGGACTTTCGGGCTTTCCTCAGGCCAGTAAGGGGGAGTATTTCATAACTTTTTTTTTTTAAGGCTTGGCATGGGAGCGAACTACTGGGTAAGAAAACAAACAAACAAACAAACAACAATGAAAAAATCCCAACCACAAAACAACCAGCCAATCAAATCCCTGCACACACACCCCCCACACACAAAAAATGTAGAAAAAGAAGAATTAAATCTCATGTGGTTTTGTAGTTCTCCAGAATATCAGCCAAGCTAATGAAGAAAAAGTGAACCCCTATAATTTTATAATCCTTTTATCTTCTAGAAAGGCCAGCTCCCCTTCCTGTATCCCAAAAGTTCTGGATCGACAGGAGATGGGGATTTAAAATACACAGAATAATCAAGGCAACAGCTTCTGAAATTTCAAGAGCTATTTTAAAGGTATGGAACAAAGACCAGACATACTGCAAATGGGACCAGACTTGTATGTGACATTTCAAAGCCCTGAAGCAACAAGGTTGTTTTCTGTGACAGCGTTTTCCGCAATGGGTAGATGAGAACAATTAAGCCTTTACCCAAAGAGCAGCATGAGGGAATCTGAAGTACAGAAACCCAGGTTTTTTATCCAGAATACTTCCATGCAGTTTTGAAAACAGCTTCTATGTTCTCTTCTGCTCTGAAGAATAATTAATCACCTGCTGTTTAAAGTGAATCTGGTCTTGAACATGCATTGTTCTACCCCAATCATCTGAAACTGGTCATATTTAAGGAAGAATTTCTTAAGCTCTCTCAAACAGAACAGGAAAAAAAACTGTCACAGAAAAGACATTAGTATGAGACTAATCTGTAAAAGCTCAGAAACTGAATTACACATGATAGGACAATCTGTACAGAAACAGAAACCATCACCCAAGGTTTAGAGCTGCCACACACTTTATGTGACGTTCCAGCTGGTGACTCTCAGAGAAACAGCACTGTCAGTATTCAAACACAACACACATTTCAAGACACAGAATGAAGCTCCTGGGATGCAAGAATAGCTCCGTGGTCAAGTCTCAATCCAGGAGAGAGCCACATTCTGCAGAACTGAACTGTTCCATCACCTCTGAAATTAAGCTAGTCACACCTTTAACCCCAAAGAAAAGTTTATTGAAGAGATGGAAAGAGTTCCCAGTCAGCTCCATCTCAATACCAGACTATTTTTTGAAGTACAAGGCTTGTTTTCCAGTCAGCTTGTTCAGTTGCAGGACTGAGTGGTGACAGCCTGGAAAAGACAGGGCAGCGACTGGTGTGAATCCCAGGGACACCATACCCTGGAGAGGCTGCTGTGGCACAGCACTCTCCTGAACATCAGGCTGTGTAAGGCATCAGGAGGAGACCTGAGATCTGCCCTCACTGAGGCTCTGGAGGTGGCTGCAAGAACGGTAAAGGATTTGAAGTTACTCCCCTCAGGTGCTGGAGTGCCTCCAGTCACGGCATCCACGTGAACCAAATCCCAGAATCACTGCTAGAGAGGGGCCACCAGAGAACACTGGAGAGGACATGCTGCTTTGCTGCCCTTTAACCAAATAAATGAAAAAAATTCCAGGTAAACTAGGATGAAAGAAAGAGAATAAATCACAGATAAGACAAAGCAAGAAAAAGCTGAAAAAGACCTTCCTAACTAACCAGTGCACACCACTGGTCATGGCATAGGGGATAAAATCACTCTGGAGCTCCTGCAAGAAGATGCTCTCTGGAGGTGGGTGGTCTGTAGATGCTGCCTGGTGCAAGAACATCCATAAAATACTGTTTGTTAAGTCCTGTCACAATTCCATTTCAGGCTCAGAAGTTTCCACACATCTCCATTCTGACCTTTCAAACCACGGGGTTTTGCAGACCCAATACAAGTTTTATCAAACATCCATTTTCTAAGAGCAGCTTTCAGGGAAAAAAAGAGCAGAGATTTGTGGGGAGGGAAAAAAATAATCCTACTCCTGCTAACTGAGAGTACAGGCATGGGGTTACTCCTGTCCCAGTGACATATCTGCCTTCAGTGCCTCCATGTAGAGCATGACTTGCACCCAGGAACACACTACTTGCCCAGCTTTTCATTAAATTAAAATATTTCAGTATATTTTATCTAGTTTTATGTTTAGCCATCTATAACCACCCTTCAGTACACAGAACTTAAAAACGGTAGGTTAATCTGCAGCAGAGGGGCTCAAAACCATTCACACAAACACATGGAAATCCATTTATAAAGTGTCCTCCGACATATTCACCTCAAAAGTCATTCAACATCTGGATATTTACATAGGCAAAATTTTGAGAAGTGCCAAATCCTTCCAAAGTCACCACTTACTCAGGAATTACTAATCTGTTGCATACATATGTGACAGTTTTTCTTCTAAATGATTGAAAAGCAAAAATTTTCCAATCATATTTGTTGCACAACCCAACAATACACAGTTCCCCAGGTGCTGTAACTGCTGCTGAGGCTGCAGGGAGAGCTGAGGGGAAGACAAAAGCTGCAGGCAGACACTGTGCAGGAACTGCAAGGCCTTGGAAACTGCAGGATTTCAAACTCTGACCTTTCAAACAGAGAGCAGGGAGAAGGTACCTGCTGATACCCTTGCAGTGCAAAAACTGGATAGCAAAAGTGCACAAGTAAGAAGGATTGCACCATGAAGTGACAAGGAAAATCCCCAAACACAGTAGGTTCAGCCCAAGAGTTCTGTAAGTTTGTAGGTTGAGGAAACCACTACCTTCATATTTTTTAAGAGCAGCTTATTATGAAACCAGTGACCTGAGGCACGTGAATTGTGATTCTCAACAAACTGTATCTTATTCAGCTTCAGAAGTTTAAGATAATCCACAACATACAAAACTGAAGGAAAACAAAGAAGTGGCAGATAGCGATAATCAAAAAACTCTTATCTTAATCAGTATGTTGAGTTTTAATTATCAGTTGGAGGTTACTACGCTACAGATTGAGTGCATCACAGAAGCAGAGCTAGCTCGATACTGAAAGCCAAGTCCACCACGACTCTTGTACGATGCTCCATCAGAATTGCTACAGCTGTGTTGCACGAACGACCACCTCTAGTCTGGAAACCATTCAGCCACAACATGCACTACAGCAACCAAACTAACAAGGCATTCTGTGCTGGAGCTGGCTGCACACAAAGGCTCCAGCAACTCTGCACAGCATTCCCAGAACCAGGAATATCCAGCAGAGCCAGTCGGGATCCAACCAGGCTTGTGCAGCCCAACTGGCAATGGCACTGCCCAGCCCAAACATCCCCCTGGACCCACCGGACAGCGCGAGCGGCCGAACCCACCCAGGGCGGTGCGGGTGAGCTGTGTCCGCGCCGGGAGCCTCGGGCACGGCCCGGGCCGGCTCATCCCCGGCTCCCTCCGGCCGCTCCTCCGTGCCCGGTCAGCCCCGGGAGCCGGGCAGTGCCGCCCGCCCGTCCCGCCCGCCTCCCGCAGCACAGCCGGGCACACCCGCCGGGCTGGGGGCGGCGAGCCCGGGCTGCCCCGCACCCCGGCCCTGCGGCCCCGCACCCCGGCCCTGCCGGCCCCGCACCCCGGCCCTGCCGGCCCCGCACCCCGGCCCTGCCGGCCCCGCACCCCGGCCCTGCGGCCCCGCACCCCGGCCCTGCGGCCCCGCACCCCGGCCCTGCCGGCCCCTCGGGCCGCGCTCCGGCGGGGCAGGGGCACAGACCGAGCACACGCCTGGGCCCCGCCACGGCTGAGCAGGCCCAGCCCGCCGGTTCCTGCCCGAGCCGGGCAGCAGCGCCGGGGGCTGCGGGGGCTCTTACCGAGAGGCGGCTCCGGAGCCGGGCCCGGGGCCCGCAGCGGACATGGCAGCGGGGCCCGCGCTCCCGCCCGCCCCGGAACAACCGCGCCGGCAGTGGCGTCACGGCACGGGCGGGGCCGAGCCGGGCCGGGCCGAGCGGGGCGGTCACTGCGGCCCCAGCGCTGCGTCCTCGCAGGGTATTTAAATGTGGAGGGCTCATCCCCCCCGGGTGTCCCCGAAGCTGCTCCTTCACCGCCCTCCTCGGCTGGGCAGGCCAGAGAAAACAGAACGAAAGGCTCGTGGGGCGAGAGCAGGGCAGGAGAGATCCATCCCCCGGCACCGGAGCGGGCGAACAAGAGCCGGCTGGGGGAGTCCGTTTGATTTGTTGCCAGAGAAGTCAAGAGTAGGGTAATGAGAAATAAAACTTAATCTTAAAACACCCCCCTGCCTCCCGGACTCAGCTGCATTCCCGGTTCTCTCCCTCCTGCCCAGGCAGGGGATGCGGTCAGTCCGTCACTCGCTGTCCCCGCCGCTCCTCCCCGCTCAGGGACAGCACTCCTCACACTGTCCCCTTCCCACGGGCTCAGTCCTTCAGGAACGGGAGCTCCATTGCGGGTCATCCACGGCGTCTGCCAGCAATCCTGCTCCGGCATGGTCACAGCCTCTTCGGGCATCCCCTGCTCTGTATGGGCTCCTCCCGGGCTGCAGGGGCATCTCCGCACCCCCACGGACCTCCGTGGGCTGCAGGGGCACAGCTCACCGTGCTCTGCACCACGGGCTGCAGGGGAACCTCAGCCCCAGCACATGAAGCATCTCCTCCTCTCCTGCCCCGCTGGCGCTGGGCTCTGAAGGCCTGGTTCTCACATGCTCTCACTCCTCTTTTCTCTGGCTGCCGATTGCTTCTGTGCAAGAACTGGTTTTCGTTCTTCATTATTGCCTATTCATTATTAATTATTAGCTGGTTTTCCCTCTTATTATGACTGCTCCCACCATCACTGATGGGCTCGGTGTGGGCCAGCAGCAGGTTCCACCTTGGAGCCAGATGACTTTGGCCTCACTGGACACAGGGAAAGGTTCTGGCAGCTTCTCACAGAAGTCACCCCTGGAGCTACACCCCCACCTCCCCCACTACCACAACCTGGCCATGAAAACCCCATACATGAAAATAGTTTGTTACATCACAGCCACACAATGGGGGTGTGTCTATAAATTTCTCATGTGGAGGTCAGAGCATTCAAGAGGTTTAGTCTGGTTTTGTTTTGGAGAGCTCTAGCAGAATTTTCAGGAGTTTTTTCCTCTCTGAAATAATTTCTTTTCCCTTTTAGCAGGTAAAAACTTGCTGAGCCTTTACTTTCACCTCTCCCAGCAGTTCATATGGTGATTTTAAAGAAACATAAAAAGTGGCACATTGAAGCTGTGTTGGTGTGGTACCAAGGCTTTTCCCTCAGGTATAAATACAGAAAGATGAGAAGGTGGGAAAAAGTTAAAGGGCAAAACACTTGGGGAACACACTTTATTTAAAAGAACTTTTGAGGATCGATTTCATTGCAAAGTACAGCAGAACAATGATGCAACATTGTGGTAAAACCAAGAAAGGAATTCCAGGAACAGAAGTAGCAGCTGAGCCTGGTTTTTAGAAACACATTTTTACTGATTAGTCACTGCAACATCTCCTCCTCAAGTGGCCTCAGGGCTTTTTCCTCCTCTTACGCCTTTCCTAAGATGCCAGTCTACATCGTTCCCCGAGCCCACGCTGCCCTGCTGTGGAGTAAAGCTGGTTATGTACCCACAGTGAGGAGCTAAACTGTAAACTCTGTTGGGAACTTTCCAGGAATCCGAAGAAGATCATGCATTTGCCAGCTCTCATTCCTTTCCATTTCCTCCAAGAGTGGCAGCTCCACCGGTTCAGTGCTTTGGGGTCTGTGAAATGAGAGCCCCACTCTGGCATAGGGACCACAGGGGACAAGAGTGATCCCCCCATCTGACACCTGCAGAGCTCCTCAGCCAGAACGTGCCAGCAGAGCAAGGCAGAAACAGAGGCAGATTCCTCCAGCAAGCCAGACTTAGGCTCTTAAATTACAGAAATTGCTTCCTTGCTGTGTTCTCTGGCTTTGCAGATTCAGGGCACATTTTTGAACATTGTTGAGGGACACGACGAGATGCTGGCAGTTGTTTGTTATGGGTGGCCATTACTGGAGCAGAGCCCAGGACTAGGAGAGAAATGCATTCTCATTGTGACCAGACTCTTTCCTCTGTCTGGCACCGGGCCTGGAATGCAAGGCTGTCCCTGGAAATGGCCTTAGAAAAATAAACATATCAGTTCTTTTTCTCACTGACACAAGAAAGGACAGAACCTGCCTGACGAGCTCCTACGGATAGGACTGCAGGACCCATGTCTCCATGGAATATAAGCAAAGCAGCACAAATGTTGGTCCTGTCTTTGGAAAGGCTCGAGCTTATCTTTGCCATGCTGGGTGGGTGTGGGAAGGCTCCTGTCACAGGTCAGATACACCCTTCCTGTCATCAACAGACTAGGTAGTTTAGGGAACCAAAAATTGTTGTGAAAACAAGTAAGTTCCCTTTCCTGCCCAATTTCCTGTGCTACATTGAGCAATTTGGGTCAGAAAAGGAATCCCAAGTGTCTCATGACTGGTAACAGAAATCAGCACCCGTAGAAAACCACAGCCCCAGGCCCCAGTGGACTGCAGCCAGCCCTGGGTGAGGGGTCTCCAGTGCTGCTGGAATCTGTGAATTGTGTGTCTGTGAAGTGTCCTGTACCACTGCCCAGCACTGTTTTCCTCAGAAAGTGGCCATGGCCTGATGTAAAACCTCACTTGCTGTAGGAAACCAAGAACTAGCCAGCTTCATTTCTTTTCAGCAGAACTGGAAGGGCTGGGGGAAGGAATAATGTAATGGCTACAACCTTAACTTAAATAAATACACACAAAGATACTAATGCATTTTAGGATTTTTTTTTTTCTTAGAGTAATGCCCATGCTGACAGTAACCTTTGGTGATCTGGAGCCTCCTAAATGAGACTGGATGTCCACAGACACATGCAGTCAGTCAGGAGTCAGTAAACTGAGTGCACGAGACCACTGGCTGGCCAGTTCTGCTGTCACACAAGAAGCCAGAGCAGACCATAGTGCCCTTTGGCCCTAATGCTGATCTAGGGGGGTGCTGAGGCACTGCCAGTTTCTCGTCCTTCCCTCTTTGACTGACTCAAGATCTGGAAGTAAAGGTTCGTAACAGCTACTGCCAGACATTTATAAAGTTTGGATCCCAGCAGACCGTGTGAGTCAGTGAGAAGGGATCAGAGGTGCAGATTTCCTCTGACAGCATTTGAGGAACTCCATGGTCTAGTCCCTTCCAGTCACTCAAGAGCTTCTTCAGCTCAGGCTCTCTGTACAGAACCATGTAAGCTGCTTAGAAAAGTCACCCGATGACACTCACAGCTTAATCTGTTCTTCCAGACTTAGAAGCCCTTTTCAGCTCTGATACTGGATCCATCATGAGAGCTGGGCAGGCAGAAGAGCGGGGATGGTTCTATCTGAACAGTGGATGTTTCTGGTGCACTCGGCTTCTAGCTGCTCACTGCAGAGGCTCAGCAACGAGTTTCTTTTACGTAAAAGCAGATCCTTTGTGCTGTTTTCAGCACCCATGAGAGCACCAGCCCAGACAGAAGGTGCTTTGCTGCCAGATAACCACAGGTTCCAGTTCTGCCAGTTGCATGTGCATAGAAATGAGCGTCCATTCTTCAGTCTAATGGGAAAAAGAGAATGTAAAATCCTGATCCTTTGTTGTGTCCCTTGGTGCCTCTTCTTGAGAAAAGACGAGTGACTAATTCACACCTCTCCATCTGCAATCAGAACAGGCTGAGTGGTCCTAGCAGATCCTGATGGCATCCTCTTGGTGAATGGTGCCCTCAATCACTGTGTCCGTGGTTTGCCTGGAGCACTTGCGACTCCCTTTCATGCTTTTCAGGTTTTCTGAAAGATGCTTCTGGAACTTCTTGGTGAGGAAGCAGTAGATGATTGGATCCAACACACAGTTTGTACTCAAGAGGCACAAAGTCACCTGGTGAGCATCATTGAGCTGTTGGCGTAGCTGACAGTTTTCCTTCTTCCACTGCTCCAGAACAGTCAGGGTCCAGGGCAGGTCCACGATGTGATGGGGCACAAAGCTGATGATGAACACAGCCAGCACTGTGCACACCATCCACAGGGCCCTCTGCTTGACATGGGCGCTCTTCCGCGGATGCGCCGACTTGGAGAACAGGGTCCTGATAATGACAACGTTCCAGCCGAGTATGAAAAGGAAAATGATGTAGAAGAGGACGCAGATGATGACATGAATGGCGAGAACAGCCGAAACCCCACTAGAAGTGTCGTAGCGCTCGAAGCACCGCGTGAAATTCTTGGAGTCGATCTCCTCTCGATTTGTATTATTCTCAAAAAGGTAATACAAAGAGCTGCCCACTATTATGATCCAGATAGCTGCTGATAGGTAGATACCCCTCCTCTGGGTGGTCAGCTGGGCAGCTTTAATAGGATTAGTCACAGCTTGGTAACGGTTGTATGTGATGACCATCAGAAAGGCAACAGAAGAGTACGTGTTCACAAAAAATAAACAGCCAGCCACGTTACAGAGGAACCCAGGCATGATCCAGTCTCCACCGTGGTGGTAGTAAACAATCCACATTGGCATGGTAACCAAGAAAAGCAAGTCAGCTACTGTCAGGTTCAGCATGAATATCTTGATTTCATTGAGTTTCTTGGTAGGGTAAATGCGGCTGAAAATCCAGAGAACGTAGCAGTTGGCAACAAAGCCCAGAATGAAAATGATGCTGTAGAAAACAGTGAAGAGGTTGTAGCGAAACTCAGAGTCTATGTGGCACAAAATAAAGGAGTCAGCGCTGCCTTCCACACCGCCTTTGCCCTTTCCAGACATCGTGGGGCTGAGTGGGCACGTCTGAAGCACAATTTCCTGCTGTAGCTTTTCTTCTTACCTAAAAATAGAAGGCATAAAACAAGCTGATTGTTTGGCAACATTGCAAAGCCAAACCCTACCTTCAGTTTTTAGTTGTCTACGACCACAGGAG